GATCTCGCTCAGCGTCAGCATCTTGTTGGGGCTCTTGCTGGATGCCATGTGATGAGCGAGATGTAAGAAGTAGGGCGGCTTGCGTGCGTGTAGCTGCGCCCGTACGTCTTGGGGTCGCGCGCGCGGCTCAGGCCCGCCTGCCCGTACATGGGGCTCATGGAGTTCATGTTGGCATAGGGGGCCAGGCCGCCCATGGCGCCCGCCGCCTGCCCCCCGAGCGGGCTCAGGCTCGGACTCAGGTGCGACCCCATGCCCGCCACGCCGGCCGCCCCGGCCGAGCCGCCCATGCTGGCCATGGCGCCCGCCCCGGGGGACATGCCCGCTAGGGACGGGCTCATGCCGGCTCCCACGTACGACGACATGTTCATCGAGCCTGCGCTCATGTTGCCGGAGCCGCTGCCCATGGCGGCCGCCGACATACTCATGTAGGTGTTCATGCCGTTCATGCCCAGGCCAGCGTTCATGTTGCTCACCGAGGAGTAGCCCTGCGGACAGAAGCCGGGGGCGGAGGCACACGCGTTAGCACCGCGGCGGGAGCGCGCCCTGCGCCCTGACCTCCCAGCTACCAGGTCAGCTCTGACCCCCTGGGGAGTCCATCCCTCGTACCCCCCACTTCTCCCCCTCCGGCACCCCGAGTCCGGTTCACTCAGAGAGCGCCCTGATCGCCTTTGAAGAGGTGGCCAGAGGGTTGCTGCTCTGTGAGCGTGGCTAGTTCCTAGCCCTTCTCCGCCGGGCTCGGATTCTAAAACAAGGGTCCCCTGGAGCTCCCCAAGCCAGGCACCTCAGAATCTCTGCCCTGCCCCGAGTCTCCCACCTCTCTGGCCAGCACAGTGAGCTGCCGCCAGGGCCATAGCGAGCAACCTGTGGGACCCCGCGCAGGGCGACACGGGTGGCCTCAAGGGAGGACCGTCCCAAGTTCCTCTCTGTTCGGTTTTCCTCCCAGAAGCCCATTCTTGGCCCCGGGGGAACCGAAACTCCGGGCCTGAGCGGAGCCTGGGGCCAGCCGGAGGCTTTGAATGAAACGATAGGGAGGGGACGGCAAACTGAACTCGGGCGGCTGGGGTTTGCAGCCACCAACTTTCTCTTTGTCCTCTGAGTCTTTAACTCCTCTCCTGTACCTCAGCCCCCCACTCGTGCCCACCTTCTTCCCTCCGGCTCCCCACCCCCTCGCCGCCGAACTCTTACCCCTCCCCAGCCGCGCGCTGCCAAACATAACTCTGTTAGGATAGTGCGTGGCTCGACCACGAAGAGGATTTGGAGGCGCCGCAAGTCAATATTTGATCACAAAGTTAATATTATCTCAAGGCTAACAGTGTGTCGTATAAAAAAGAGACCCATTTGAGTGGAAGGAGGGTGGAAAAGGTGGCTGCCCGGAGCGGCTGCGGGTGGGGGGCGGACGCAGGCGAGGACAGCGGCCCCGAGGTTGGGGCCGGAGAGAGCGGACGCCGCCACCCCACGTCCCCCCGGAAAAGGCGAGTGCCTACCTCCGGCTCGGCATAGTAGCTGCTCCAGTCGGACGGCTCGTGCCCTTCCATCTTCACGGCTCCCAGCATACTGGAAGCCGAGTGCATGGCAGTTTAAAATTTAACAGCCACAACAAACGACCAGCAATCACCCCCCACCCCCACCCTCTTAAAAAAAAAAAAAAAAAAAGTCAGCTAAGGCACTGTCCCCTCCCTCCCTCTCTTTCGCTCCCTCTCTCTGGGCTCCACTCCCTCTCTCTCCCGGGGCTGGCCGGAGGCGGTAGTTGGAAGTGGGCGGGAGGGGGCAGATGAGTCGCCCGAGGAGGGGGCTGAGGATCGGAGGGGGCCCAGACCGGAGCCCGGGTGCCCGCAGAGCCCGCCGCCCGTCGCCCGCCGCCTTCGCGCTCGCGGGCTGCCCGGCGGAGCCCGAGCTTGGCAGTGCGGAGCTGCGGGCAGGCCGCGGGAAGCGCGCGCGCGCGGGGCCGGTTGGGGTTGAGAAAGAAGAAGAGAGTGGAGGAGGAGGAGGAGGAGGAGGTGTGGACGCGGAGCCGACAAGTGCCGCAGTGACGTGGGCGGCTGGTGATATAGCGCGGCGCGCGGGCGCGGGCCTCCAATCCCCAGACCCCGGGCAGCCCATTTGAATAATCAGCTCACACCTAGGTGAGAGGGAGCCGCGGCCAGCGCCCCGCACCTGCCCCTGGGCGGCCACAGCCCGCCGCGCCCGGCTGCGACTGCCACTGCGGGGCCGGGGCCGGCGATCCAGGCGCCCGGGCGCCCGGGCTCCCCAGGACGGCCCCCTTCCTTCCGCGCGCACCCGGAGCGGCCGCGGGAGGAGAGCTCTGGGGGGCAGCCACCCCCGGAGAGGCCCAGGGCTCTGACCCCCTCCCCGTCCCATAGCGCCTGGCGCCTAAGGCTCCTGTTGGAGGGCGCGCTCGACCCGGGCGCCCCGTTTCTCCCTGCAGAGCCTTTTAAAAGCCGCAAGTATGTATCCCGGCTTCTTCGCTCTCGGTGTTCCTTCCCTGTCAAAACAACAAGACGGCGACAGAGCCCGTTTGCAAAGCGCTGTCGTATTTAGCAAAACTGTGTACACACCTTCAGCTCGCCCGCCGCTGCTCCGGGAGGCCCCTCCCCGTTACAGTTGAGACTCCGAGTGGCCCGGAAGGCGCGGGGCGCGCCGGGCCGGCCGCCTTGGCTTTCTGCCTCCTCGGAGCCCGGCCTCCGGCGACCTGCAGGGGGGTGGCCGGCGGCGGGAGGGACGCTGTCCCGGCGCAGGGCGCACGCGGCCCGGCCAGCTGCAGCCGACGGTTGGGAGACTGTAATTTATCTCTGACATTCAGGACGCCGTGTTTCAAGGTTACTTTTCAGTCACAACGGAGGTGCCCACAGAATTTCGTAACTAAAACAAACAGGGCAGGAGGTGGGGTGGGAGTGAAGCGGGAGGAGAGAAAGGCATAAAGGAATCAATACGCAGCGCATGGAATCCCTTCAGGAGGGTCTCTGTCCTCTCTCCTTTCCTGAGGGGTCTGTTTTGTAAGAATTGGAAACCCCAGCAACCATATACTCCCTTTTAATGTTCGCTCCGGCGTCTGGGTTCCAATGATCACCTGCCCTGGACCAGCCCCTAGACCCCAGTGAGCCCAGATTACAGGTGTTCGGATATGGGCGCCCTTTCTTGGTTCTAAAAACCCATGTTGGGCCTGAGGATCCCAGCCCCGAGACCTCCACCTCAAAGATAGACGAAAAACTAGAAATTATGGGCACCTGACTCACTTTTCCAAAGCTGTGGGTAAAGGTGGCAGAAGACAAGAGAGGTGGCAGGCAGGGGGATGGACACAGGGAAGGGAAGGACCCTGCGGTTCAGACTAGAAGGCAAGTGGGTGCAGGGCACTTCCAGCCCTTCCCTCCATCCCAGGTCTCTAGGCCGGCCCAGCATCACTTTGAACCAAAGATGGAGCCAGTGGCAGCCTCCTTAGAGCTGAAACGCCAGGATGGGTCGACTAATTGATGCTGAGGGCATTAATGAGCACGCTGAGCGAGTTCCAAGCCAGGATCCCTGAAGCCATGCGTAGCACTGAGGGCTCCCAGCAAGGGCAGTGTCTCCTGCGAGTATATGCACAGGTAGTGCAGGTGTGCAAAGGAGAGGCACAGGGACCAGATCACCAGCATCCATCACGGAGTTCCCAGGACTTGGGAAAGAAGGGTACGCACTGGCGCAGTTGCCTGTTCTTTAAAACTTTATGCGCAGGCCTAAGGCAGAAAGGTGCGCGAGCGCTCACACACACACCACCTTAAGTCCCCTTCCTTCTTCCTACTGGTGCTTCTCACAATCCGTAGAAAAAGAAAAGAAAAAATAAATAAAGGACGCCAAATAGACAAACCCCACGAAACAAACAGACAGCTTTCTAGTGTGTATGAAGTTGAAAACTAAAAAGAATACTCTGGTGTGCACATGTATATGACTGTCCACTCCTTTTCTCTTTTAGCTCCTGGTCTAAATATAGTTCTAGAAATTATTCCTGGAATAAAAGGGGCGACCGGGGCGGGGAGAGGAGGTCCACGGGAGGAAAGGAAGCTACCTTTTTAAAAGAGCGAAGCTTACAAGTTCCCCCATCCTCCGTTGCGGGCATCGGTGGGCACCGGGAAGCGCTCCACACCGACGTCCGCAGTGACAGCGCGCCCCCTGTCGGCCGCACGGCCCTTGACACCGACTAGAGTCCTCATTTACCCACGCGCTCCTCACCCCTAAACCCGGGCGCCAGCCTCTCACCATCTCCCGGAACACGCCTCCAGTGGGTTGGCATTTCTCTGGAGTCCCCTAACTTCTGCGCAAACTGAAACCGGCCTCCTCCCGCCTCTGAATGCTCCTTGCGTCCGGGACCCTCTCCGCGCTTGGCCTCAGGGGTGGGGTGGGGGTAGGGAGAGGCGAACAGCTCGGAACCCAGAACCTTTGCAGGAATCCGGACTTGCACCAGCTTAGGGTTCGCTTTCCTTTCCCAGCGCCCAGGTCTTTGGAGGCGCCACCTCCCTACACACTCCGGGTCCTTCCCGGCAGGGCAGCTTTGGTTGGTTTGTGAAGGTTTATTCAGAGCGTCTGGCACGGCGGCCTGGGCTGGAATGCTGTAAATTGCTCCAGGAGCTTCTCTCCAGGAAAACGTTCGCGGGGAACTGGGGCCGAAAACAGATATTTCCCCTGATCCCCTTTAGTTGAAACCCACCTAGGACTGAGACCCACAAAGCTTTCGTTGGCCCGTGTTCCCCTTCTTTTCCTTTCGTTCGGTGCTGCCTGCCGAGGTTCCTAATAAAGCCGCCTTATAACCGATGACTATGCTTGGGGTTAACACGCTGTTTTTATTTTGGACGCTGTACCAGCGGATTTGACTTGGGCGCAAATCTGGGCCATCCTGAGAAGAGGATGCTATGGTCCTGCATCCCCTAACCAAACTCCTTCCTCTCAGAGCCCTCTGTCATATAAAACTAGTCCTGGGAAGGGGACATCAATAAACAGAACTTCCCTAGGCGATAACCAGTCAAATATCAGATGTGCGGAAAGCTGCATTCCATTGATCAATACTTCAACCCCTGAAGCCTTCCAGAGAATCCATACCCCGACAGGCCTTGCTTTAGGGCATGATCAGGCAGGTCTGCAGGTGAGGTTAACACAGAGGAGACAGAAAGGTGACTAGGCAAAGTCTTGTGAAAATATACATTTCACTTTCAAATAAGCTTTTCTCTGGGCAAAAATCAGAAGTGGCCCACACCTCCATCCCAGGTCTGACACACACACACACACACACACACACACACAGAGAGAGAGAGAGAGAGAGAGAGAGAGAGAGAGAGAATTCTGTCAAAGGTTATAATCAACCTTTCACGTTCTGTGGATGGGTTGTTATTTCTGAAATTCCACTTTAAAAAATCAGACAATTACAAGTAGTCTACTTGAGCACACCTTCAGATACTCTTTTCCTGGCTTTCATAGTTCTTGGCTGGCCAAATACTAGTTGTTTATGAAGAGGACAACTGAAAAGGTGAGCTAAGAGCTGTCTATCAAAGGGGGTTTATGGAAAGACTGCAGGAAAGGTTCAGCAGGTCTCCATCTTCTGCAAAAACACAGGAAAGTGCTGATAAAAGTGTGTGTGTGGGGGGGGGGGAACAAGATACAATATTGTAAGTTTTTTTAAAATATGTTTTTTATTGATTTTAGAGAAAGGAAGGGAGAGGGATGCCCCCTACTTTGAGGGATGGGGTCCCAAAACCCGGGCATGTGCCCTGAAAGGGAATGGAGCCTGGACCTATTGGTGCCTGGAACAAAGCTCAACCAACTGAGCCACACGGGCCAGGACCAACATTGTAAGTTTAGTGCACAATGCACCTGCATACATTCTAGCTCTTCTGGGCGAGATTCACAGGGAAAGATGGGAAATAAGTAATAATAAAATTTGATCATCAATACAAATGTAAAATCGATACAATGCTAATTGCCCTAATTGTTTTTGGGTGGTAGAATTACATCTTCAATCTACTTTTTTTCATGCAGTAGAGTGGTAATGTATAGTGATATATAATAAAATAACATATTTTACTATTACATGTTTCTTATTTTATGGTGAAATATGTAATTAGAATATTACATCTTGATGTCATAGAAACTTTAGCAAAAATAAATTGTACAGATTTTTGTGCAGTTCTTACACTTGAAAGAAGATCAGTGAAGCTACCATTCAACAGACCAAGGGTTTGACTTCTGAAAAACAAATCAGTATTTTTTCCTTACTTATGTCAGAAAGTGAACTCGACTCTTTCTTGAGTTGAGGGAAGAAAGAAAGTGATATATTCATGCCAACAACAGATGGTGATTTCTTAACATGGTACAGGAAAGAAGGGAGGCTCTGTCCTCAGGATACTGTTAGGAGGAATTTGGCACGTGGATTATTCTCTGTGGATGTAGAATTGGATAGCTGTTTGGAAGGTTGGGTGCAGTTATGGATTGTTCATCTTTTATGGGTTTTCTCTTGGTTGGGTTGACTCCACTCCCATCTGTTTGGGCCTGTGGGGAGGCTGGTGCTGTGCCCACTTGCGTTGAGGGTTTGACAAATATTTCTGGTATA